AGTTTGCCTACCCATGATTCAAAACAACCTTCCAAAAATTAGTTAAAAGACAACCTCTGAAAATCAGTTTAAAACTTCTGAAATATCCATGTGCTCATGGATGCAATCATGAGTTCAATATGTAGCAACTGGCAAGGTTTCTGAGCCTCTCTCGAGCATGTTTTTAAACATTAAGAACCCACACAAAAAGTTTGTAAATAAAAATAAATAACAAGAATGTAGCCATGCTTTATTGCATTCATTAAGGATTCAGAGTAGAGACCAGGTTTCTTTCCCTCGCAGGGTGTTATATTGATACGTATAGCAAAGCTTAAGGACACTGCATTTTATTGCCTGTTACTGCAGCTGTGAACGCTTGCTGTACTTATGTTTTATGTATTGTGCATCTTGCATAAAAATGTAAGAGTGAACCTCTGGCATTCAAAGGCGTTCTGGCCATTGTTTATATTTTTATGCATCACCCATAAGTACGTACCTACCTTGAGTGGATATACCTATCTGACGAAGCCGGTTGTAGTCCACAAATGCTTATGCCACAATGATTTATAAATGCTGCCCAAGCATGATGGAACTTGGACAAGAGCCCTTTTAAAAAAAGTAACACACACTCTAAGAAATATAATTTCAAGTTATGGGCACTGAAGAACTGCATTTACTACATTAAGTAGAGAACTTGCCAGAGGCAGCCTGTCCCATTATGCCACCTGAGGCAAAACAGGAAAGTGCTGCCCCTGGTGCAGCCATATTTACAGTTTCTAGGTTTATTTGTATTATTTATATTACATACATACATACATACATGGAGACTTATTTAAAGATCTCTCTGGAAGTCATTCATCTGGTGGCAGGGGGCTCCTGCGACGGCACCCTTTGGATTCTGCCAACCTAGACAGCTGCCTCAGTCCACCTCACAGCCCTTGGAAACCACCTGCATTTCATAGCACCGCAGCTCCAAAATGTGGGCCTGTTGTTGAAGAATACTGCTTGCTCCCCAAGACCTCAGTGGTGCACAGTGCTATTTCTGGGGGTACTCAGTATGCAGTACCGACACCTTCTTCAGATGTTAAAAGTGTGGCACTTAGGGTAACAACTTCATGGTGAGTGCCAGCACCTTTTTTTCTAAACAAGAAAGAAAGAAAAGAGCACTGGTGGCACATGGGTGCCAACTTAAAATGAAGTGATCGCAAGACGCAGGGCACCCGAAATACTTGAACGGCATTGCCCATCAATTAGGGTGGGGGAGCCACATCAAATATTTTATTCATAAAGGAAACAGCTTATAAGAAGTAAATAAGGATGCCAGAAACAGGATAAAGGAAGTCTTTTATTTGGTTGTTTGTATTGTTGTATATTATGCTTGTTTGTTATGTTTGTGTCTGATGGGGGTGGATTTCTGTGTTGGGGATAGGGGGTTTGTGTTATGTTGTAAATAAAATTTCCAATAAAATTAAAAAATATATATTTTATGGGGCGGGCGCGAAGGGACCTCAGCCCCTACGAGTTGTTTCGTATGTCGGCGAGTTAGCACACTGATCAGGGAGGGAGACACCCTTGTGTTGGAAGGCTTTACCTATTTGCTTTTAAGACATCCAAAACCCTGATCCCTGCGTCAAAGCCGAGCAAACCCTCCCCTTTCCTGGACTCAATAAAGCACTTCTGCTTATGTCTGAATCTCCACTGCGCTGGTTCTAGCAAACGCGAGGCTTTGCCTGCAAGGCTATAACGGGGACTCTCTTAATCGGGGGAGGCCGGCAGAGCTCGCCTAGCTCTGGCGCGCCGCCGCTCCTCCGTTACTAGCGCAACAATGCGTTCCATTCTGGAACCTTCCCGAAACAGGAGCGAGCAACTCGCGCCCTCCTAGAGCAGCGGGAGGGAGGAGGAGGACAGGCAGAGGAACGTGCCTCCACTTCCATATATGGTCGCGGCCGGAAGACACTCCGTCACGCCGTCGGCTCGCAGCGTCTCTGCGGGCTCCCCGACGTCACGGCGCTGACGTGCTTCGCGAAGCGCCCTAGAAACCAAACAGTAAACAAGAGCGGGGCGCCTTAGGAACTGGGGCAGAGGGCTGGAGTGGGAGTCGGAGAAACCCGCTGCGGCTGCGGAGGGCGGAGGCGGGGCGCGCGAGGCCGGGGTCAAGCGGAGTGCCTATCAATCGCTGTTCTTTTTTAAGCCCGGCTTGGAATTCCCTTTTGTTTTGTTTTGTTTTGCTTTGCTTTGTCTCTTCCGTTCTTGGAACTTGCGGGGAGCTCGGGAAATGGCTTCGTGAGGGCCCTCCCCACCCCCGGCTCTGGATCAAAGGGGCAAGGGATCTCCCGGCCACCTTCCTGTCACAATTTCAGCGTCTGGGTTTTGCTTACAATCGCTTCCCAGCTGTAAGAGCAGGGCAGGCCCGAGAAACAGCCTGGGCCACTACTCTTCCCATGTTCCGTCTTCCGCCGAAAGGCTGCTTTGCTGGTCCGGCGAAGCATGAGCAACGAAGAATCTTGTGGCACCGGCTTAAAGATTAACATATTTATTATGGCGCAAGTTTTCATGGACCACAGTCCGCTTCGTATGAACTGTATGAACTGTAATCCTGAATTGGCAAGCATGCATACAGGGTGGGGGATGTAGACAGAGGAGTGAGTTCAGAGGGAAATGAAATACAAATAGAACAGTGAGGATTACCTGGAACCAACTATTTGTAACTATCTGTAGCTATTTTTGCTTTCAGGTGATCATTGCTATCCGTTCTTTGTGCGATTCATGTTGCTACAAACCACTCATTAGAAAATGCTTTTCAGGCCTCCCTCCCCAGCTTATAAAGAAAATGAGAAGCCTTCAAAATGCCCCATATGCCCCCGCCATAAAAATCAACGTATCTCAGATACGTTGGAGGCACTCATATGCCAGCAGTGAAACTTCTTATAAATAAGGCTATTTTGTGAGTGTGATAGGTGGTTGCCAACCCCAGACACCTTTCTTTGCTTTCAGGATCCACGCCATCTGCATACTGTGCAATAAACAACGATGCAATCCCACTTGTATACCACAAACCATTGTTCCTCTTTGCCTTGGACAGAATTCTGCACGCTAATACTCCCTGTCAAGAACCAGACTGTAGAAAGCTGTCTTCTCCCATTATTCAGCATCATGTGCAATTGAAACCTGATTTTAATGCAACTGCATCTGGATTTGTACCCATAGTACAGTTTCTCGCCCATGAGAAAAATTATATCCCTTTCTAGCCACCTAAAGTGGCTATACCAACAAATATACCTGTAGATTTATGCTAAACTTGTCAAAAAGAATTATTTACTGATACATGCCTTCCAGAAAACAATGCTCATAAAATATGAGCATACTTTTAAATTAATATTTTATTATATATATTATGTAATTATATTTTAAAACCTAACTAATAAATAATGCACCATTTTTATTGATCAGGTTGCTTGTCTTGTTCCTCTTGTTTCTGAATTACTTTATTTAAATGTTTTAGATAATTTCATATGTATATATTTTTGGAGAGCTGGGACTGTCCTGGAAACACTTAAAACAGCATGAAATGTGTGAGATAAAATAAACAAATAATAACTTTTTAAAAACCTCATGGGTTCCTTCTTTTTCATTGCTTAGTATGTTTAAGCTTAAGAGGAAATCCAATAAGTGGAGGTGGAAGAGCCATTATACACAAAAACGGTCCCAAGAAAGATGGGCAAATCTAGTAATTTTCTTTGCTTAGCAGATGCAGTTTTCTCTTAGCCTTCACAATAGACAAAGATCCATTAACCTGTCCTGGGCATTTTGGAGATACCTTCAGCTTCCAATGTTTTAATTGGTCATTTAGAAATTGATAGGTCCAACCCAGCTGCAATTATTGTTCCATGTCTAGTTCCTAAATTGTTTGAAATACTTCAAAAGCCATTCTTTCAAGCAAAATACACATTTAGCATGTTCGAGGAATGGAAAGGTTGCTGTCAGAAAAGCAAAACCACATTATAGTTCCATAATACATATGTCAGTGATGATTGACTGGGCCTGCATCTCCAACAAGAGTTTGCACCCATAAGCTTTCTATACCAAAGCCTCATTACATAGAATATTTTTTTCCGTTTCTTCCCCACACTACCTTTTTATTGCATGTATTCTGCATATCCCATGGTGCAACTCTAAGCATGTTCATTCAGAAGTACATCCTCCTGTGTTAAATAGCATTTACTTCCTAGTAAGAGTGTTTAGGATTATAGCCTGATATGTAAAGTAGAAGGTGCAACAGTTAATTTGACAGGGTTCAATTAAGCATGCTCCTAAGTGAATGTGAATAGGATTATAACCCTGGGAAGCTAAATCACAATGTAAGGCATCCTTTGAAATCTGTAAGGTCTCTGCACCAAAAGAATATAATTATAAAACTGGAAACAATTCAGTCTACCATGCACAGATACATTTGCAGTTATATTTAGAAAGCAGTATAACTGAGTATTACCCATAATAGTAACATTTCTTCTGAAATATTGAGATGTGAGAGATATTAGACACAGTATAATACTGTATTGGGGAAATATCAGTAATGATTTCTAAATGAAGCTGCACATGGATTATTTGGATAATGCACTGTAAGGTTGATATCCCAAAGAATGTAGAAACTGTCTTTTTAAAAATATTTTTATATAATTTATAAGGATATTCTTCATGGGATTTTCATAAGGTCATGTTTCATTTTAATACATTTATTTGAATGGGAACTCTTATTATGCCCTCATTTCTCATTGTTAAATTATATATGACTACACTATTTTCTTACATTTTGGGCCACTAAAAGATATTGAAAAATATTATAATCTAGAAAATTAGCTTTTCAAGGTCCAAGATAAAATTCCTTGACAGGAAAATTGCTTCCAGCTGTATTCAGCTTTTCTCTGTGATTTAGATAAGTGATCATTTTATTAACCAATGTTTGGACTGTGTAGTTATACTCTCATAAGTAGAATAAACATGAATGCTACTGTAGCACCTTGATGGGACAAAGGGTATGGTTGTTGGATCAAAGCTAGATATATTTCATTGATTTTCCTGCTTGCAATCCTTGTGACTACTATGTTTTAGGGAAACATAGCAGAGTCACAAGGATTGCAAGCAGGAACATCAATGAAACATACCTTTCTTTGATCCAATAACCATATCTTTTGTCCCATGCAAAATACATAGCTACTTTTACAGGTTCACTTGAAAGAGTATTTCTATTCTCAATATAAAAATACCAAGATAAGCAGTTATCCTTGATAGTCTGGACAGAATATTTCCCAGTGTTGCACATGTGTTATGGAGAAGTTGCAAAGAAATAAGCAGGTTCAAATGCTTAGAGTACAAGGGGCATGTGATTATTAAATTATTATTCTATATGATTATTGTAAAATACATACTATTCTCACTCAGCCCACAACCTCTGTTGCAATGATCATAGTTTATTAGATGCATCTGCTCTGAGGAGAGCATTTTTCCAACTTTCTCTCCCCAGGCCAGGAAAAGACTTGTTCTCAGTTCTACACAAATGTAGTTATCCAGATAACATCTCTTGTCATTTCTTCTGTATGCATCTATAATTTCTCACTCCCTGCCAGTTTGGAAGCAAAATTAACAATGGTTTTGTCGTGTTACTTAAATGTAATCATTGGTACTTTTCACTGGTATTCATTGGTATTTTGCTAGTGCTACAAATATTAATATCAGTCTACAATATCAATATTTCCATCATACTATTTTTTTGCACTTTGCTCTAAAATATATTATTGGTACTCAGCTCTTTGTACAAACTAAGCATGTAGTCAGACCTTTAAAAGAGTTTTGCAGCACCACCAATTTCCACAGGCAAAGAGGTGAGTTTCTGAGTGTTCTTAGAGGTTTTCTTTTTTGCTGTTGGAGAAACCGTCGCCTACCAGAACGGAAACAGCAGTTTTATCTGCACTCAAATATTACTTCTTTGGGCAAGGGGTTACCATGAGGAACCTTAAGCTTGGGGGGCAGATGCATCTCTCTGGGCCACTGGGTCCAGCCTTCAGGACTGTGCCCTGCCCACCCCTCTCACTAGTTTACACCTGCCATTGGCTTTGCCCTCACCCTCCTCAAGTGCTTTTGCCTGACTGGAATGTATTTTCTGAACTGTGATAATGCATCACGCTTGCGTGGATGGAGAGATGTGGGTGTAGATGTCTCTGACTTTTGCATAGCTGGAGTGCAACCTGCTGCACAAGAATAAGGGTCCACCCACTGTTGCTCCATTCACTTTTGCCACTGCCTCCACCCTCCATTGGCATGCGGATCCCAGAGCAGGCTGCCCAGGAAGGAGTGCAGCCCTCAGGCTCAAAAAGGTTCCCCACCCTAATTGTTTTAATTTATTTATTTTATCTTGAGATACCATTTAGTACCACAGCTTCTAAGCGGTGTAGAAAAGGGATACAGCATAAAATCAATGAAGATGAAGTATCATTTTTAAAAAGCTTGCTTGAAATGCCTTCTGATTATTATTTTTAAAATCTTCATGAAGCACTGGAAGTTCCTCAGAAAACTGAACCTGTCGGATATCAGCTGGGAGGTAGTTCCACAGAACTGGAGCCACAATCCTGAAGGCGTAGTTCCTGGTTGTTATGTCAAGTGTCTTGAGTCATGGGAAATAACTGACTCCCTCCAAAACCTTAGCGATTGGGATATAAGGCATCAAGCAGTCCTTAAGATATCCTGGACACAAGTTGTTAAGGGCCTTGAAAATCTGTATAACTTTTAACCTGGCCCAGTATACGGGTGCAAGCTTCCAGAATCTTTGATGTGTACACAAAATTATTTTCCCTATTCATTTTCAGGGACAGCTCTAAGCATATATCCCTCTGGAAATAATAGGAAAACATCAGAGTTCCTGTACTACACAGGAAGCTCTCTTAGGCCAGAGACTATTTATCAAGAGACTAGATGTTCATCCATCCCAGTTGTTACTGAGTTCATGCCCTGGCACCCCCAAGTCCCAAGTGATGTGACAGAGTCTCTGTCTAAGGCTCTGGAGAGCTGCTGTCTGATCCAACTTCTCTGACTAGCAGCAGTATTAGGGAGAGACTTTGTCACATCACTTGCAACCAAATATTTCAAGCTGCAGATGCCATGGAATTGTTTGATTGTAGAGTACATGTATCGCATTGACTTTCTTCACATAGTATGTGCTATGTCCACTGAGCTATATGGTTTCCCCCCATAATGGTAATATCAAAGCAAATTATAAAAATGTGACTTTCATTTAATATTTTTGTGGTTAGGGTACCAGATTTCATTTTGCATATGATTTGTCAACTATTAGCACGCTGTTAGATCTAGCTCTACATACACGTTACTGGGTCTGTCATGTTCCCTTAATCTTTTTCAAGTATCTGTTCTAGAGAATATGCACTATATCACTAAAAACACCTTTTCTAGAGCCTTAATGTGTACCATCAGCTGTCAACTTTGAACTCTTTTAGATGTGGGATGAAACTTGCTCATCTTCACATCATGTGAGACCCAATTTATCTTACTTGTGATACAACACACAGCAAACTCTATGTACACCTATTATGTAATGCAGTACATACGTATGTGAGTAGTAATTGTTACGACTGTGTGTACAGCAGTTTCTCTCCATGCCAAAAGCAGAGTTGTAGTCACGGTATTAGGCTAGGAAGTACCAGCTGACGCAGTGGGTTAGCATTACAGTTGCAGGTGTCGATTGTGCTGTCTGCCATATCAGCCTCTTTAAACAGGAAGCTATGAGCCCATTCCTTTGTTGGGCCTGGGGTAAATTCAGTGAGCATGCCTCACATCCACAGGGATCATGTGTCTGAAAGCAATGTTGGCCACAAAAGAGCTTTTGCCACAAATATGCAAGGAAGACGTACTCAGTATAGCATTCCTGTTCAGAACAAGAGACAGCCAGCAATGCCCTTCCCCAGGATATTCCATTCCATGCTGCCCTCTCATGCCCCATTTTCTTTTCCAGTCACCTTCTATAGACATTCTACTGGGTTGCTTGGAAGGGCACCTTACAAAGGTTATTTAGAACAAAGTGTATTTCTGCAAAGCTTGTGGCTTTTCCCCCAAGCATGCTGCTCTATCAGGCCAATGGCCTAACATCCTGTTCTCACAGCAGCCAACTAGATGCATTGGGGTCCTGTTTTCAGGCTTCCCATAGGCTAGAGCACTCTTCTGCTGCTGTTTCAAGCAACTGACTCCCCTCTTGTTTCTCAATGGTTCCATTTATTTTGGTATTCACAACCAGCATCCCTTGTTTGAGGGACTGAACAGGTGGGGTTGAGATACAAGTAGTGAAGTTTTAGGTGGCATGTTAACTTTAAACTGATTATTGGGCTGATGCAACTGTTCTGTCCAAAACAGCACTCAACTATCCATTTTGTGGTAGGCACCTGAACAAAACTCAATAATACATCATTTCACCTTTCCACAACAAGCAACAGAAGAAAGCTTTTCTCATGTGTTTGTGTGTGATGAAGGACATGAGGCAGAGGAAAATGAAACATTGCAGAGATGTAGGAAACAATGAAGATAAAAGAACAAAGTCAGATATACTCAGGGAGAAGGAAACAGGAAGTCTGATGTGACGAAAGAGCAATTATCAGAATAGAAATAATCACAAGCCTAAAGGAAGTGTAATTTCTCCACCGTATGATTGAGATATTTCACTGCCTCCAATTCCCGATAATTGAACCCATGTTCCTTTTCAAGAGTGCACCTGAAATGTATAGAAACTTTGTATGAGGTGGCAAGCCTATGCACATTTACCTAGGAGCAAGTCCAACTCAACAAAGAGGATTTACTTCCTAGTAAATTTGGGTGTTAAAATTTTGTGTATGCCTATACTAGTGTGCTGAACAACAATGTGTGTTTAAACAAAGGATTATGCTAGTCCCATTTACCAGCATCTAACCCCTTCCAGCAAACCACAGCAGATTTGGACATGGATTGTGCTAAATTGAAGCCTTGCTACTTGAGAGGTTTTACAGTAAAGAGACTCCAGAGTCTTTATAGCATTCAACTTAAATGCTTTTATTGACAGTGTCTTGAACAGTAAGCAAACAATGCTTAAATGTCATCCAAATTCACCTTCCACATGTCAATTACCTCAAGGTAGAAAAAATTAAAATAAAAAATTAAATATATCCATAAATAAATTAAAAACACAATAAAAACGTTTTCATGGAAAACTTATGTCAAACCATTCAGACCACTTCAACAATGTATGATCAGTTAAAGTTACAATGAACATTGATGTACAAGGAGAACTTTAGTACATGGACAACATAGCTATTTATTAATCTACTAGAAAATAAAAGGGTATCTTTTCGCAGTTAAGTTGGGTCATTGCTAAGTCATCAAAACACGATATTGCCAGGAACACAGTAGTTATTGTTAGTCAGCTGCACTAGATACGAGTTGAAGATACCCAGCACCATATTAAGAATTCCAATCATTAAACCAACAGATTAATTAGTTAATGCTAGTGAATAGTAAAGAGGAGGGAAGGGAGTCACCAACCCAGCCATGTTGAACATGCTACGAAACTACTAGTTCTCATTGATGGGGGACAAGACAGATTCCATGCGGTTTTGCTACATCTCTGGAAGAGGTATCAGGCCTGGCGTCTGGCTGAGAGGCAGCCCCTCCAGCAAAGTCATTTCCCTCCAAGTGGGCTGCCCATACCAAACCTCCGGAATGGAGGGCTTCGTCTTTTCCTAGGCCTCGGGTGGGATCTCGGAGCTCCACAGGAAGGAGAGAGCGGCTCCTTTGCGGCCTAAAGCCCCATGCAGCAGCAGCAAGGGCGGGTGGGCTCGGTCTCCGCCGTGGTGATGCCCCTAGGCCCGCAGCGACGGCTCGGGGATCTGGCGTCCCTTCTTCACAAGGCCAGCAGGGTGGGCGAGCTGAGCGAGTCGGACGACGGCTCGTTGCTGCTGCTGCCCTTCCGGTGCGCGGCGGCGCAGCTGGGGAAGGCCTCGGTCTCGGGGTACGTGAAGACGAAGGACGAGGTGTAGGTGCTGGGGCACGGCGTGCAGGTCACCACCGGGGTGCAAAGCGGCTCCAGATCCACGTGGCCCGCGGCCCCCAGGGGCTCCCAGTCCGCCGCGTAGAAGGAAGAGGAGCCGGACAGGTCCATGTCCGGCACGGAGCGGGGAGTCTCGCGGGTGGAGCGCGCGAAGAAGTCGTCGAAAGGCTCGGCCTTCAGCTCCAGGCCGCTGCTCTCCTTGACCGGCGCGGCGCGGCTGGGCTCGTGCAGCATGGGGAGGGCGAAGGCCTCCTCCTCGGACTCGGGCGAGCTGGCCACGGGGGCTTCGGCCAGCAGATCCAGCGTGGAGGCGGCCAGCTCCTCGGAGAACTGCAGCTCTTCCGGGATCTTGCAAGCGGGGCGGTGGGCGGCCAGGATGAACTCCAGCTTCTCTTTCTCTTTCAGCAGGTTGGCGATCTCGGTCTGCAGCTCGGATTTCTCCTCCTCCAACTGGTCGGTCTCCTGGGGACACAAGCAAGGGGAGGGGCGAGTCAGCTCAAGTCTCCTCCGGGCGGGAGAGAAAGCAAAAGGACAGCGCCGGGCAGGGCAGGGCAGGATCGCCGGCCAGGCAGCAGATACTCACCGCTTGTAGGGTATCCGTCAGCTCCCTCCTCCGGTTGCGGCATTTAGCAGCTGCCATCTTGTTCCTTTCCCGACGGATCCTCCTTTTTTCCTCCTCTTCTGGTGTCAGCTACGGAGAGAGAACAAGCGTGGACGTCAGTCTCCAGTGCTTGAGACCAGAAAGTGCGCTCCCTAACTTCGGATCACAGGAACAACTCTTGCGCTTGCATGGAGCAAACGACCCAGATACTCCTACGGATCTGAAAAGGGGGGGGGGGATCTCCACCCGCTTGCAAAACTGCCTTTATGCCCTTTGTCCTTTAAAGGGAACAGCTATCTGCTGTCCCAAATGTCCACCCCGCTTAGCCAGAAATAGGCTTTGAGCTATAATAATGTATTGTTGGTAAATTAAACTACAGCCCTCTCTCGTGTTCTCCCTCTTCTCCTGGTTTCTAGAGGCTTCATTGCAGCCAAAAGCTGAACACACACCTGCTCAACTTTGCCCCTCCTGCCGATGCTTTGGCCTCTGCTTCCTGTCGTCTTGACAATCCCAGCCCTAGAGTAGGCACCGGTCTGGTGAGCAGGGAGCCCGTAGGGGTGGCTTCGGTTCTGGGAAGGGGCCACTGAGGAGATCAGAGTCGGTTGCACCATCCACTGCAAGTCTGGACTTGTGGAAATAGCAGTCACGGTGGGAACGAAGTTGGCACTGGAGGCGGCTAGGTCCGTGCAGAAGTCCTGGAAAAACACAAAAGGAGACCCTGTTAGTTACCAAGTTGGGGGGGAAGGGGTCAGAGAAATGCGATGCGCGCTATGACAGCTCTAAGCCCCAGAGGCCGGTGCGCTATTTTGAGCTGGGCCTGCAGTCCCTGGGGCCAGATTGGTTCGGACGCTGCTGCTGCCATCATCAGACTACACATGAACAGGGGCTTGTTATAAATATCTCTGACGTCCGCGCTGACGCAAGCGCCGCTCCGGAGTCTCCTGAATGAAGCCGCGATTTATCAATGAAACCGCTTTACGCACCCGCTGCAGAACACCTCCCGGGCGAAGATCCATTCCGCCCCCCAACCCCTTCATCATTTATAGCACCAGACAAGAAATAGATTCATCCACCACCCCCATTTCTCTTTTTCTATATGGCCAATACTGCCTTCCCTGGGCAGAGGTGCTGGAAACACACCATACAATGTAGCATATATCGAAAAGTAAAGAGAAAAGCGTGCATCATATACAGGCCAGGGGAGCTCTCCCAAGCCTCAGCTATCAACATTAGGAGCTGCTCGGGTCCTGTCATTGAACCCTATAGCAACAGAGAAGCAGACATAGGCAGCTATTCTCCCAACCCGACACCCCGTGAGCCATAAGCAGCCCCCCGATTCCTCACCTGTGAGTTGACAGGCGAGCCCATGCTGGAGAAAGAGTCCGCTGGTGAGGGATAGTATGTGAGGCTGTCCCCAGCCGGAGAAGCGCTGCTGCAGCGGGAGGAAGACGCATCGTAGTCAGCGGTGAAGCCCTGATACATCATGTCGGCTAATCTGGGGGTGTAAAAGCCCTTCAGGGTGGTATATCTTTCCCAGATGAGTATCCGAATTGAGCGAGTCCTCGGCTAGGCGAATGGGTTACTGAGAAACCCCAGCCGCTTCTATGCTTCTGCCTGCTTCAGCCACACTGCTGCTGGAGTAAAGAGCGGCACCTCCGCCTTTTATTCGCTACGGCCAGGACTTGTGAATGAGACGACGTCACGGGCGAAACCAATCCTCACGGGAGGGGAGCAGCGGCGGTCACGAACGACCTCTGAGACGGCCCGAAGTGCCTGGCGCTAGCAGAATCGCTCTGAAAACAAGCTGAAGGTCGTCCCCAAAGCGTCGCGGAGATTATCAGGAAGTTTGGCGGCGGGTCTCAGCCTTTAAAAGTCAGGTAAAGGGGCTCGATTCCCTCTCCCAAAATGGTTCGCTCTAAGCTCGGGAACCCCTGACGTAAATATCCTTATATGGCATACATCCTGTGCAAAGGGGGCGTAACTGACGGGAACGCTTCAGGGCTGAGGCCAAGGGATGGTGCGTGCCTGTGGTAGCAACGGCAGGGGGAGTGGAGAGTAAAAGCAGCAAGAGCCGCAGCAAAGGCTTCTGCATGCAGATTCTGCCCATTTACTGCTGACCAGACACTGAAGTGACAGCTTAAAGAGACAGAGATGCAATTTTGCCCATCATCTCCACAAGGAGAGTCATATAAACCTTCACAGAATTCACTGATTCTATGATCTCATAAGATCAGCACCTCTGGAATTTCTAAATTTTAGATGATATGGCATTCACAAGAATGTCCTCTGCCCACTCCGAAATAGGGGTGATGATATGCAGCATAAAGCCAAGGTGATTAAATGGGGGATACAGAACAGATTTCTACTCACAGGTTATTTTTTTAATTGCGTTGGACTACATAATTACCTTTCTGCTGTTTGGTGTTAAGTCCAAAGAGTGCAGTGATCACATGAGAATAATTATTATTTATTCTGGACAAGGTTTGTTCTTCTGGATATAGACAATGCAGTCCTCATCATATTCACACATGCAGCAGGCCTCAGTGGTCATTATTCTCACATTACTGTCTCAGAAATGAGATGAGCAGTCTTGCCCATAATGCCCTGAGCCTTCCTGTTGCCGTAAGTGAACCTACCCACATCTCTGGGCCTGGTGAGTTCTTCTTATAAGGATTTAAAATGTTAATATTGGCACTACTATCAAATCTCTATTTTATGTTTATTCACGTTTAAGAATGTTACATTTACAACCAAACAAAACTTTTCTAATATCAATATTACTCATCACACTACAGGAATGAAATTTAGTGAGACTGAAATCGTATACCCACTTATCAGGGAGTAAACCCCACAGAACTTAATAGGATTTACTTCTAAGTGTAAGCGCACATAACTGTTCATTATTGCCCTTTCACTTCTTATTAGGATCAAGTGAATTCAATATTGCTTTAAGGTAAAGGAACCCCTGACTGTTAAGTCAAGTCACAGACGACTCTGGGGTTGTGGCGCTCATCTCGCTTACTGGCCGAGGGAGCTGGCATTTGTCCACAGACAGCTTCCGGGTCATGTGGCCAGCATGACTAAGCCGCTTCTGGCGAACCAGAGCAGCGCACGGAAACGCCGTTTACCTTCCCACCGGAGCAGTACCTATTTATCTACTTGCACTTGGACACACTATTGAACTCTATTAATCTTTAGAACCATTGTTATAGAAAATAATATTCCCCTGAATTCAGTATTTCAAGCTGCAATCCTATGTCTCACTAAATTTATTGGAGCTTACTTCCAAGTAAACATGCATAGGCTCAGACTGTTACACACATTAAGGACATTTTAAGATAACTTTTCGTTGTGAAATTTTAGAAAATATTATCATGTGGACTGCAAACCCATGTATTATATAATCTGTCCTAGCCTTCCATAATTGTTATCGCTTTTTCATTTTCTTTGGAATGATAGGTAGCCCTAATTAAAGGCTTTCCCATTCCAGTTCACAAAGGTTGTTCTAGTTCATGCAAGGGACGATCCTTGCCTCCACTACGAAGAGTTACAAAACTTCCATTCATTTCAGTTGTGTCAGCATTTTACCTTCTAGTAATTACATGCAAAAATGCATGTGAAGAAACCAACACTGCAGTTCATATACCATTTACTCAACACAGTACTGGAGAAACTGACTGCTCAGGGGTTTCTAGATTGGTTTTAGGTCATTACTGAGGTCATCATCTGTAGGTTAGGTACTAGGGGCTTATGAGAGGAAGGTTCATTCCAGGTGGACACCTCCTGTGACTTGCTTGGAACCACCAGAATATATTCTAATGGGACTTATGAAGCAAATGTCTTGCTGCTGAATTTCAGCAATAAGAATTTCACACTTTTCCTTGTGCTCAAAGCTCTTCACATAGATTATCACAGAGATTATTGCATATCACTGTAAACACAGTTGAAAATTATTATCCACATAATAATATTACAATTTAAAGCCCTAAATGGCTCTTGGGTACAGATTGTCTGAAAGATCACCTTCACTTATATAATCCTATCAGTATGCTAAAATCTACCACAGTCAAGATTAGTTAGGTTGCTGTATGCAAGAGTGGGCCTTCTCAGTGGTGATCCCCAAACCATTCAACTTCTGTTCCCAAAGACCTTCCTCTTTACAATTGCCTTCAACTTATATGATAAACAGCTTGGGTCTCCAGAGCAGCTTCTCATTTGTTTGACTACATGGGCATAACCAGGATTTTTGTGGCAAGGGCAGGCTTTTGTTGGGGGGCGAACCTCAGTTAGTTAAGTATGGTATTTGTACTGATTTTTATTGATTGGGGGGCAGCTGCCGCCCCACCCCTTTGGCTACACCCATGTTTGACTATATTTTTATATTGTAAATTGTCTCTTACTCCTTTGCTCATTACTTTGTGAGAAAGTAGTTCTAGAAACTGGCTTAAAATACTTTAATGAATGAATTACAATAATAATATAGATAGTGCAGAGGATCAAACATAGCCGGTGATCTAAGGCAGCCCACCAAATTCATAGCAGTGCTAAGATTTGAACTAATAATCTGCATGCAGTTCATTACCCATCCTCTCAACTACTATATACTTTAACTGATAAAACAGACTAAAGCAAGAGATAATAGACTCAGGCTCCCCTTGCAGGCACTCGATTTATCACAGCAGGATACCCAGATTTCCAGTTTAACCTGGAAATATCACCAGATTAGCCACTAAGTGGTTCAGAAGCCCCCCCTTTTTTTTACTGAAACAGTTGTGTTGATAATATAGCAAGATTTTAAGTCACACAGAACACTCCTTCAGACTGGAGGCTACATCTCAAAGCAATCCCCGCACGACGTTTTTCTTCCCATCGTGGGGCCTCATTTTCACTCTACATTTCTTTTAGCCGCTTCTATGCAGCAAAAACGAAGCAAATAAACTGAGGTTTATGGTATGCAACCTAAACCGCGCAGCTATTACCATGGGAACCTATATTTACTGCTCCTGCAAATAAAATTCCTGTCTCCGAGGACCCGAATGGTTTCTGCGTGCAGTCTTGGATTGGGAAGGAATACCGCACGTGCGCCGTATGTATGGAAAATATAACCTAACGTCCTTCCTGAAAAGAGAGAGCAAGGAGCTATGGAATATTCTGCACGTTCTCTAGTGCCGCGATCACGAGACACTGACTTAATCCCCCGGGGGCTCTCACTAGGAGAAGGGACTGGCTGATGCAAAAGTCTCTCTCCAGGAGAAGGGTGAAAATTGCGCGCGGGGTTCCGGCTATTCCCCATTACTGGAATGTCCCAGAAACAGAGCGCTTTGCCAGGAGGGAGGAGGGACCCGGCCGGGACTGCTGGGATGCGCCCAGCCCGCCCCTGGCGGCCGGTAGGGGCTCTTGGGAGGCTGCCAGGGAGCTGCGGTAACAGGTAGAGGAGGGCTCTCTCCTTTCCCGGAGCTGGGATTTGTTATGATCCGCGCTTGTCCTCTGCAGGGAAGCCCGGAGAGCCGGCGAGGAGGGAGGGAGGGAGCGAGCGAGGCGGCAAGGCAGCCAGCCAGACCGCACTCGCCCGCCGGGGAGGAGCTGGCGTGGCCGCCGCCGCCGCAGCAAGGCGAGCCGGGTGGCGCGTTGGTCACAACAAACAGAAGCTCGCTCTCTCCCCGGCGCAGTTTCTAGGCAAGGGAGGAGCTTCGCCCAGCCCGAGCCTGCCGATTGAGCTCATAGGCTAGAAAGGCAGCCATGCGGGGAGGGATCTGGGCCCTGGAGGCGAGGCGGGGAAATCGGGCCAGCTGCTATTTCGAGGTGTCCTCGTCAGCGCCAGGGACAGGCAGCTTAGGCGCCTCGCCCCGGGGAGTGGAGCGATTCTTCTCCTGGGTGGGGCGAGACAGGTCCGTGGGGGCGATTTTCTGGCTCCCCGGATTACATAAATCGGCTCAGGCCCCCGAGAGATAGAAGCCCAAACTCAGGACGAAACGCGGCCCTCCTCTTGCACCAGCTAGAAATTGCTTAAGGCCTGCTGCTGTTTGTTGCCAGCTCACCCATCAAGAGCAAAATACGACAAGCTCCCTTCCCAGGTTGTTCTAGCCTAAGGACAAAGGATCCTTTTGTAAAGCAAATACAGTATATGATTTTGTTGTTAAAATAGCTTATCGGTTAATCTTTGCCCTCACATTGTTAGTTGTTTTCTTTGAAATCATAAATGGTTTGTCACATGGCCTTTGCTCCAGACTTGGAAGGTCAGACCTTATTATTGCCATTATACAAACGGGCAACTGAGGCCAAGAGAAAGCCCAACATGACGAACAGGTCGTCACACAGATTTCAGTTCTATAACTTTTTCTTAAGTCCCAAGCGCTAGGTAGAGCAATTCTCAGAAATGTATACCCCACACCAATCAGCATACTCCACATTTAAAACCACAATTTATGTTACGTCAAAGTATCTCTGGCATCAAGCTGTACAGGGATGTACAGAGACGAACAAGTCTGGAAGAATCCAGTCAGCCAGTCAGTTGAACTCTGGTCAGCAATTAAATAGGCACTCATATAACCTCCAGTCTAAAGTTGCATTGTGATGTATTTTAAGACTGCAAAAAAGCCATGTTGAAAGCAGCCTTTAAAGTAGGTCATCCTATCAACATATCAAAAAT